GAGCAAATTACGTTGATTTTCAGAGTTTTCTGATGTTCTCTGCTGAAGGGGAGTTCAGCAGACATGATGCTTTAGTCATGATTATGAGAGTTTCAAAGCAGTGACATTAGCCAGTAGTTAAATAACAGTGATGTGCATCTCTTCATCCTAGATGGAAAGCCATGGGCTGCCTCTGAGGCAGGACTACATACAGTATTTGAAAGCGTAAATTCTTATTATAAGAATTTTTCTTGGATGGGATTTATTGCTGCAAAACCTCAGACCTAACCAGGGGTAGCAGGTATGCAGCCCTCTGAAGCGGCCTTGAGCAAGCATCTACCAGCTCCTAGGTGTCCCATTGTTTTTGGCAGACCTGTCCAAAATATTATTGTTGTTGACCCTAGGAAAGGAGCCATTGCTGTAGCTAACCTTAACCTTTGAACCCTTAGTGGAGGGATAAAGGAAGCATAATGATGTACTGAATATTTATCATATGATTTATACTGATAATGCCATTACATGCACATGGATTACCCATTACTAACATTCATAAAATGCACTGGCACTACAGTTTTCTTCCTCATCAAGCTGAGAAACGGTGTTAATGAAATATGAGACTAAACCATTAGTAAACCCGGTCTGATTGTCTTCACAAATGTGTAATCGGAGCTGTACCTAAGCAGAGAAAAATAAGGATGACTGTGGACTTTTTTTGGCATAAATCCAGAGCTAATATGACACAACACTCCTTCTCTGCTAGATGATCCCTTGAAAAATTTTTATTTCTCCCAGTACTCTTTTACAACTTCATTTCAGCGGCAACTATTAACCTAAATCATACTGTGGCTTTTTCACTGTACACCACAACAGTTTAATAGGCTATGTAAATAATAGGGTTGGTGATTAAGTCAAGTAATGCTTCAGAAAACGATGGTTTAGCCTCTGGCTGTAATTACCAGCTGGAAGAATTATCTTGAAACCAAAAACAGAAAAGACAGCCTTCCCGGTAAACCCCCAGTGTGCAGGAAAATGGTGCAGATGAGCTCAACTTTAAGGAAGAAATCTACATTTAACACAGGAAAAACAAAAATACAAGATTTGGAGTAAAATGCTTTGAATAAACTGTTAACTGTCTCTTCGTGACTCTCGGTGGCCCCATTACATTGCATTGAAGCGTCCTTGCTACTGGTGTGCAGGGCTCCCCAGTGCTCGCCTGAGCAGACGGTGTGTGATGATAATATGCCCCTGGGGGGATCAGGGGGTGCTCCCTAATTGATTGTCATGAAAGACACTAATTGAATCAAGAAGTGCATGTAGTCTGGTGCCTGGTGACTCAGTTAAAGCAACTGCATGGAGACTTGTATAGGAAGCTGCTATATCAATGGCTACTAAAGCAGAACTATAATATACACCTTAACTGGTTGCTATCAGAAGCCAAAAAGATGCAAACAAAACTGGGATATATAGTGAGAAGTCATCACTATGCTAAAGGCTTCTCTGCCATTTGTTTAGCCTGGTTTGATTTCTTGTCTTTAAGCAATTCAGAGTAGGTGAGGATGTTTCCTAATGCACATTCCTTTTTCTTGTTTGCACCTTCTTTTTCTTTCCTTTTTGTTTTCTCAGCCTTATATTGTTCACTTGTCCGTTTGTTGCTTTACAGAAGGACATGCACACACACACTGAGAGCCACTGTACCTGAACCAAAATCCCTGTGTATCCAACACACCCGGCCAATAAAGCCGATTCTGATTCTGATTAATGTTAAATTGTGTGTGTTAGGTCTTTGCTGGTGCAAAAGCTGTGGCGAGCAGGGCTGTAGCTACCAATAAACCAGGAAGCTGAGGAGGCGTTCTATGTATTTTTTCCAGGTATGTGCATGTTTGAGTAAACTGGGGTGAAGTTTACACTCAACCTACACATTGTGGGTTTTTTGGAACAACAAAAATGCATAAATCAATAAATAATTATCAACTGGAATGTGTGGAACAGCATTGCAGAAAATATAATTAAACACTTATCTAAGTAAATAAAACATGAAGCTTCTGACTATTAGAAAATATTAGGGTGGCACTTGGACTCATGACATCAATATTGCTAAAACCCTGGGTGCGGCCCAGGTTTCTGGTGGTAAGGCTGGAATAAATGCACATTTTAGTCATCTAAATATCCACACTCACATAATATACACTAAATTAGAGACCGGTTATTGCATGATAAGTTAAATGATCAGTGGTTGTATACACTCTGTTCTGAGATAGTGTTTTTATAGTACACATTTTTCTCAGTTGTTGCTTTCTGCAGTGCTAAAGAACAGCTAGTTAACAAAATACACATGAACTGGAGGTATGTTGTTAAGATGCAGGGAGCAGTATGGTTGTAGGATGTTTATAGTTTTTTTTTTTAAATCAGGCATGAACTGTGTCTTAGATTAGCTTTTACTTCCATGCATTCTACTTTTACTCTTGTGCCTTGTTTTTTGTGCAATTTTGTTAAACACTTAATGAGTAAGCCTTCAATATTCTGCAGTGATTTAGCTTTTAAAATGCTTGAAATAGACAACTCTGAACAAATGTTTTTAAATATTATCAGTGGCTGATAAAGGGAGAAAGAAGAGAACGAGGCAAACTTCTCAGACAGCAGCACAGTGATGGAGAGAGGCAGAGCAGTGAGGCTCCCTCAGCACCAATAGGTTGCTTTTGGAAAGAGAAGGGGGAGAGCCGGGTAGGAGGGGGCCCCTTGGATTAAGAGGCTGAAAAATGGTTAAAACGTGTCAACGTGTAATTGCACGATAAGGCTCCCTCGTGAGGAATCCGTTGGCCCCGTTGCTATTTTCTGTGGCGTCCCAGCTAATCTCCTCATGCCACATTCGGTCTTGTGCAATCGGTCCCCTGTAATCTCCCATGACAGAACCGGGTCCAACGACGGAGGTGAGGGTTTTTATAGGAGGAGAGGGAGGGAAGTATGCGGAGGCGTGATAAACTGACGCTGATTAGCCATGTTTAGGACACCGGGAGCATGTGGGATGGGGGGTTTGAGGGGGGCACAGGGTTATGGAGTGGGAAGTGCCAGAGCTATGGAGTCCAAGCATGTGCCAAGCAAAACAGGAGGAGGGGTTGGAAACCTGCAGACACAAGGCTGCGGCCTCAGTGATGGCCCAGGGTGTTCAGGGCTGTGTGGACCAGGCCGAGCCGGAGTTCTGACCGACTAGTCCGGTTCCCACTGATTAGTACTCCTCTTACCTGAGCTTCAGTGAGGCCATCATCAAATCGCATCTGGACCTGATGATACATCCAGTTATTGGATTCATTAGACTTTTCAGATACTAACATCCTGTAAATGATTCACTTACTTTCTTCCCAGAGACTCTGTGGGTTTGATATTTGGGGAGAAATCTCTCGTCGTACCTCGAGGTTTAGTCAATTAACGCTCCTCACTGTAGTTGTACAGTTTGTGCTTTTGGATGTGGATCTTCCAGTTGCGTGTCGTCATACTGACGATGATAAGAAGGTCTTAATCAGCTTTATCACAATTTCCAACAATAATATTCTCCAGAAACAAAGTTTGTAATGAGTGATAAGTAAATGTTTTTCTTTGTTCATTCTGTGTAAATGTCTTCATCTTTAAAAGGCCCTTCTCTCCCTCAGGGAAATTAAATTTGTAAATACTCCAGAAAGACCCTAAAAATGTTGAGAGACAGGGCAGTTAACATCTCTGGCTAGTTCTGTTGGACACACACTTTAGTGTCACACCAAATTAATCCGATCTTCATTAGTGAAAAATCTAAATTCCCTTTGCTGAGCTGTGGACCTGACTCTGGAGAGATATTAATGCCATACAAAATGATCTAAAATGATGAGAAAAGAATTCACATTTATTAATTCTCAGTCATGCAGTAATAAAATACAGCCACAAATAAAAAGGTTTTTACTGTAAATAGGTCTTTTTTCCCCACTGCAAGTCATGAAGAGCAGATTGTTTCAAATGACCTTTTCCTTATATTTGTACAGGTTTGTTGGATTAGGAAATATTCCGCAGTAGACTGCGTCAGGTTTAACACTTGAAACAGCTTGATTTTTATCTGATTTCCATCCATGTTGCCCTCTTGTTTTTAAGTCCAGACCCAAGTGGGACTTAGTCTGATAAAACCAGGGGTGTTGTTTGCTGTTCTTTTTGTTCGGGGTGACCCCCCAGGCTGCCCCAGCTTACACCAGGACTAATCCCCATTCTCCTCCAACACAAAAACCTCCTCCTCCTCCTCCTCCTCCTCCCCCCTTTGGCTCATTCATTCCTCCCTCCCCACCCCGGGGCCTCAACTGATTCAGCCATCAAATTTAAAGAAGGAAATAATTTAACAACAGTACAATTACACACCCACACACAGGCGTTTGATGCTGGGTGCCAGGAACGGAGGAAGATTTGAGGAGCTGTGTTGAAGTAGAGGGACCCAGGTGGAGGCAGAGTTGAAGTGGGCCCAATCGAGGCCACTGGAAGATTTAGCAGCTCATTCACCACCGGATACTCTTGTTGGTGAGATGTAGGTTACTGAGGCCATGACACTGGAGACAGGTCTATCAGAGTGTGAAGGCTGGAAATTGAATTTTACAAGGTGCATGATCAAGTTAGGCAAAATAAACATGCAGATGATTAATAATTGTGCCAGAGTTTGTGGAAAAACGTGTAATCAGAAAGGCCTGGTCTTCCTGAGGAGCAGTGCAGGTTCCAGTGAGGGAAAGGATTAAGCTTTAGAAAAACATCCTATGCATTTTCACAACTTATAAGAAACAAAGAGGAAATAAGAGAGCAACATAAATCATGTGAAATTAGTTTTGTATTTTAAATAGATGTTCTGGCATAAATATGTCGATAATATGCTTAGAGTAATGAGTTATTGAGAGCGTGGCCTATTTCAAAGGGAAAGATGCTCAAGCAACAAGTGTTTACTGCAAGTTACAGGATGTCAGAGATGCTCTGTGCAAACGTGATAATCCACTTAGAGAGGCCAGAACATCCCAGCAGGAAAACTAAAATGTTGAATAAAGACAAAAACGTAATTTTAGGAGAAACAATAGGCCTATTTATTTTTGCCATTAAAAGATCCTGTTCTCAAATACATCCCATTATCATAATGACACATTATAATGTCTGACATGAATTCGTAATGATGACATTTCTGAAAGTAGACATTTGTAATGTCTCGGAAAAATCGATCGAAATGAAGAGCAAATTATGATTGTCTCCATATTTTCAATTACAAGAGCCGACTGATAAATAACATCCCCTGTCCGTGTGGACACGGGACTTCCTTTAATGTGCACGTTGTCATTTTGTTCTTATTAGAAATGTTCACTACTTTGACTTGTATACCGAGACCCCATTAAACCCGCACTGATCCAGTGGGCTTGCCAGCATTTTATCAAATATATTTCAGCAACGGAGTAAATGTAAATAAACATCAGATACAGAGGTTTTCTCATGAGCCTGCTTACATCTGCAAAAAACAAATACCCAGGAGTAAATCTAATACTTTCTCCAAGTTAACGTTCTTGGAAAATTTAATTAACTCAGCCAAAATTGTTTCGTCTTCGACCAGGAAACGGGGCTTGGTATTTTGTAAATTATGTACATTTGCATAAAAGCGTTTTCACTAGGCCTATTTATTCACAATGTACAAGATTTTACAACAACAAAAACAAATGCAAATTACACCGACTGACTCACATGTTTACAAGCATCAAAACTGGAAAGAAATTTAAATCGTGGCCTAGAAACTTTTAAAACCATCTCCCACAACCCTTCCGTTTGTTACACGGGTTTTCAGGAGCTGGAGCCTTGGTGCACAGAAACGTCGGGGGAAACCTTGAACACGCACCAGGCTTCACGGAGGATCGTTTAAATCGTGTCAAAGCTTGGCATGCTCTGTTCCACTGAGCAAAAGCAAATCAGATGCGCTTTCCTTTAGCTCGGACAGACAAAAATCCAGCACTGAAACAAAATAAAAATAACAATAAAAAAAAAGTGTGAGCAAAACGATTGCTTTTTATGGCTATAACCGCCTATAATTTACAATTCATCAGCAGCCTGCGCCCACATCTTTAAATATTTGGTCGTGGTTTTAGTGCTTATAGTAGGTACATTAGAGATTTAAATGTGAGTCAGAGGGACCGTCCCGTTTACCGGAGTGGAGCCGCTGCTCTGGTAGTGCTGCGGGTGGAGCACATGCAGTCTGCTCTGAACGGAGGAGTCCCCCGCCGCCTCGCCGGTCGGCAGATACATGCTGATCATGTCCCGCAGGTCCCCCGCAGGGCACGGCGGCGGTGCGCGCGTGGTGGAAACCGGCGGGCTCACACTAGGCTCAGATTTCACAAGGGAGCCCAGAGTCCCTCCGATCGCTCCGGACACGGGGGAGACACCGGAGCTTTGGTGCTGGTGAGTGTAGCCGGTGATCCCGCCGTATCCGGGCGGTGAGGCGCTCATGTAGCTCTGAGAGTTTGAGATGGGGCTGTAAGATAAGGCGCTCATGTCGTACCTGTGCACGGGCTGCGGGTTGTGCGGGTGGTGGTGAGGGTGATGGTGGGGATGCGGGTGGTGCGGGTGAGCCCCTGCGCCCGGGTGTTGGGTGTATGCCAGCTGCGCCTCCTGCATCATCGCGTGAGCTGCCGCCGCTGCAGCCGCCACCTGGCCCGAATATGTACCGTTTGCCCAGCCGTTTACATGCGTGGCGTAGCCCGCATTTGCCCCTGCGTGGCCTCCTCCGGGGCTCTCCAGCCGCTGTCCGCTGCCCATCCCTACACCCCCAGAGGAGCCGAGGAGCCCGCCGGCCAGCGAGTACTTGTCCTTCTTCAGCAGAGTCTTGGTCTTCCTCCGCGGCCGGTACTTGTAGTCCGGGTGTTCCTTCATGTGCATGGCCCGGAGCCGCTTCGCCTCGTCAATGAACGGTCTCTTCTCCGCCTCGGTCATCACCTTCCACTCCGCGCCCAGCCGCTTGCTTATCTCCGAGTTGTGCATCTTGGGGTTCTCCTGTGCCATTTTCCTCCGCTGGCCCCGGGACCAGACCATGAAGGCGTTCATGGGTCTCTTGATTCTGTCCTGGGGGACTTTGCCTCCTCCTCCCGCGTGTGCCCCCGGGTTGGATGGGTTGGTCTGGGGCACCATGGGGGAATGTAAGTCCGTTTCCATCATGATGCTGTACATTCACCTCGTCTTGGTAGGTCAAACACAGAGAAGCATTCAGGCTGGCCCGCCGCAGCTAAACAGAGCGAGGGGATGACCGGGTGCTGTCTCACGGTGAAATCCGCTCACAGGTGAACTTGCTCCGCACTTGCCCTTTTCGCCTTTCCCCTGTCATCCGGGAGAATCCGGTTGTTGGAGCTTTACTTTGGTCTAAACTGTACTGGGAAAAGTTACTGGAGCGTGCTCGGGCCGCGCGCTCTGACAGCTGCTAAATGAGCGCGAGACGGCCAATGGAGAGGCTCGAGCGCAGACGTGATTTGCATGCAGGGGCTCGAGGTTCTGGTGACGTCGGAGCGCGAGACCTAAAAATGACTCCCTCTCTCATGTGCTTTGTGTGTGTGTAGCTGGAAAACGCGCAGCATGTAAACAGCTGAATTCCCAGAGTTTTGCGCATGTCACGCGTGCTGCTCTCTGATATTTTCATATTTAATGTCAGTAGGAAAAAATCTATATTGCACAAAAAGAGGGAGAGAAAGAAAAAACGTGTCCCGTACAGCAACAGAAAACAGGTAGTCTATGCTTAAAAAAGGAAGTTTGAATAAAAATGAAAATGAAGTGAAATCTGAATGATTCCTCATATTCCTCGCATAACCTTAACTATCGTGGTCACATCACAACAACAGCATTTTAATTTTAAAATAGATTGTTGTCAATATTCATGGTAAATCAGGAACTCATTTACAGGGGTCCTATCACCACATTAAGACGGTATAGTTGTGTTATGATTTCTAGCTTGAATTATTTATTACTTTTACAGATTGAGAGCTAACCGCGGATCTAAAAAGAATGTATTTTTTATATTTGCCTCCGTTTTTGTCAAACTGAGGCTGGAGCCACAGGTGCGTTTCTGTTGTGCCCGTTGCTAGGAAACAGGTGACTGACGCCCAGAGCACGTGCCATTCAGAGCACCCTTTTGTTTCACCAGCGCCGTGTGGTGAGCACCAGAGACAGCATGAGAGATTTAACCCCCACACACCAACTACGCCAGTGTTATAGTAAATGTTCTAAATAGAATAAATAATAAAGCAGTGGAGGATAACACTGTGGCTGTAGACCTGCCGCAGGCCCGCAACACTCACACGCTTCAAGGATCAGGAACAATCCTGCAGAGCAAATTCCCTGAAAGATATTATTTTATTTCAGTTTGTTATCCTGTTTTCAAACAAACACGACCTGGTCTAATGTTACATTTAACTCATTTTATCTGGCCTATTATAAAATAATTAAAAACACAAGCTATTACTACTAAATAAAGTATATTTAACTAGGGCTCTGATGTAGTTATTTTCATTATCAGTAAATCTTCTGATTATTTTGTTGATTAATAATTTATGAATAATGAAAAATGCTCAGTTAAATAACTTATTTTTTTCTACTAACCACCCAAAACATGAAGATGTTCATTTTGCTGTCATACAAGAAAAACAACAATTTACATAAACATTTTTGCGTCTGAAAATGCTTTGGATTTTTTTTACTTGAGAAATTCTACACTGTAAATTGATTAGCAAAAGTCTTTGCATTGTTAAAATACACCTTGTGCATTTTCTTTGCATGTGGCTGTGGTTTGGCACTATGACACTTCAGATATTTAATTTAACACTGCACTCTGTTGTTGGGTGCTGCTCTGGCTTCCTGTCATGTGAAGGATCTTTTTGCCATTTGGGGATTATGCTCCCAAGTGGCATCTGTCAGGTGCCGCCTGCCTCTCAGTGAGCACGCTGGCACGGCTGGATTTTCCTCTTGCTTCCTTGTACCAGTGCTATTAAGTAGCTTGTATGATTTGTGTGATGTTTCTCTGCATCAAGTGTCTTTTTAACACAGGAAACTGAGCAGAAAATCAGAGAATAGACAGAAATATTTAACATTGACCCAGTAATATCTTGTCAGCTCTGTTTCCCACTGTCTGTTCTATCATACGTCGAATCGGGTTTCCTTTTTAGGGACATTTGGATGTGTCCATTACAGTCGTCATCTGTATGTGTGTTGACTCCTGAATCAGCTCTAGTCTTGAATTTTGACCAGCATATGGTTTACTAGAACCATTGTCATTATTTTCCTGTCTTTGTCTTGGTGACCAGGATGGTATCGTTATAGCTTGTTTACATGCCTATCAGAAGTGCATTTATAAAGTGATTAAGGTAATAATGCAGATCAATTATATCTCATAAAACACCTAAGATTTTATTAGCATAAAGACATAAACCGCTGCTATCAGGCCTGAAATGTTTAAGCCAACAGGCCACAAACACACACACCCATACTTCCAACAGAATCAAAGGCATTTCTCCGGTGCAGCAGCTGCCTCAGCGTATTTGTTTAAGGCTCTCTGTCATAGCAAGCTGTCAGCTTGAGTGAAGCTCAGCAGAGTGCACACACGCATCCGTACAGTACATATACACAACATTAGGCTGTGACATACCATGTTAAAAACTGCCTCTGGACTCAGGATGTGACTCGGTGATAACAGTAGCGAGGTGCAGTACTGCAACAGTATTTTCTTGGAATTAAAAGTTTTTCTAAAGGAAAACTTTTCAGCACAGTTGTACAATGTTAACAGCTGTTGCATGTCTAATCATATGGGTGTGGTCAAGATGGTTTTCTTAATATCAAATGAGCTCAGTTGTCTATTGGGAAATTGTTGTATTTCCTGAAAGCCTCACTTTCTCTTCATTTCTATAATGGAGTAAGTGCAATGGACATTTTCTCAGTGTGACGTCTCCTGCTCTATATTATAATGCTTTCGATGCAGACACTGGAGGTATTTTTGCCTTTTTTCTACAGTGAACTGCTGTTGAGATAAATAGTGTGTAGATGTCAACGACTGGACATGTCTCCTGATACTTTCACTCCTAAACTGAGCATAAATTAACAATGATTACTGAGAGCCAGTGTGAGCAATCTGAATTACTTTTGCCACACCGGTATATGAAGGCATCGTCAAGGTTTTAAAATTCACTTTCTTTAATAGCTTCCATGAATAAATTAACCAGCAGTAGCCAACCAGTCCCAGCTTTCTGCAAAGAGGCTAAAATCATCTTTCTTCCATCCATTTCTCCCCATTTTCAAGTGTCAGAGTAAAGTGGCCTGGTGTACCGAACACTGTTAAGCATTTGCACTCATCATTTAATCATCACACCTCTTCCTTTGATTGATGCCTAATGAATGCCCAGGGTCTCGGTTTACAAGACAGTCGCTAACAGAGCCTTGCTAATGGGTTTTGCCTGTCTGCCAGACAGCCCTGGCTTCAGGCAGAGAAGTCTGCGTTCACACTGGAGCTTGAAGACCATTTATTCTATCATTTCTGGTAGAGATAAGGCAGACTGTTAACAGACACAAAAATGCATATTCTGAGCTCTTCTCTTCTCACAGTCATGGCCAGAAATATTGGCACCCCTGCATTTCTCCCAGATAAGGCACCACTTCTCCCACAAAATTGTTGCAATCACAAATCTTTTGGTATTATTGGTGTTCTTTGTATGTTTGTTTATTTCGTTTGCATTGGAACAACACAATAAGCAGAAATAAAAGCTAAATCTGATACAGTCCACACAGAACTGCAAAAATGGACTGGACAAAATTACTGACACCCTCAATTTAATATTTGGTAGCATACCCTTTGGACAAAATAACTTAAATCAGTTGCTTCCTGTAACCATCAGTGAGTTTCTTCCAACTCTCTGCTGGAATCCCGGACCACTCTTCTTTTGCCAACTGCTCCAGGTCTCTCAGTTTTGAAGGGTTCCTTCTGCCAGCTGATGTTCTGAGCTCTCTCCACACAGGCTCTATGGAATTTAGATCTGGACTCATCACTGGCCACTTCAGAACTCTCCAGCTCATTGTTCTGGTGCTGTTTGAAGTCTGCTTTTGGTCAGTGTCCTGCTCTAAGACCCATGACCTCTGACAGAGAGGTAGTCCTCAGATTTCATAATGCCATACACACAGTCAAGACATCCAGTGCCTGAAGCAGCAAAGCAACCCAAAAACATCAGTGAACATCCATTGTGTTTGACTGTAGGGACCGTGCTCTTTTCTTTGAAGGCCTCATTTTGTTTTGTGAAAACAGTAGAATGATGGCGTGCACAGGACATTCTCCCAGAAGGACTGTGTGTTATGGTAGCCCCCCTCACCAGGAGGGTGAGGGAGGACTGAGGTTGGACTCAAGTTTGCAGACCCAGGTGCTAGGGGGAAAAACATGATGGTAGGAGGTAAATAAAACACAAAGTATCAAAAGAACATAACATGGGAAAGTACGGTACTTGGATATGTATGATATGTAGTGTAGTGTAAATGAGCGTAGCTCGTAGGTAGTGTGGTAGAGTCAAGCCAAAACGCACAGTGTCTGTCAGCGTAGCATTCTACCAAAATGTGTAGTGTAGTGGGAATTAGCGTAGCACATAGGTAGTGTGGTAGAGTCAAGCCAAAACGCACAGTGTCTGTCAGCGTAGCATTCTACCAACATGTACAGGGGGGGGGGAGAGTCGGCAGCCACCGAGCGGCCCTGACACTGTGGCTTCCTCAGGTACATTTTGGCAAACTCCACTCCGGCTTTTCATGTTTCTGTGTCAGCACTGGGTCCCCTGGGTCTCCTACCACAGTGTCTCTTGTCATTCAGATGGCCACAGATAGTGTGAGCTGACACTGTTGCACCCTGTGGCTGCAGGTCAGCTTGAATGTTTGGAAGATGATCGAGGTTCTTTATGCACCATTTGAACAAACCTTCATTGCAATCTTTCATCTGTGTTTCTCTTTCGTCCACATCCAGGGAGATTAGCTACAGCACCATGGGCTGTAAACGTCTTGACAGTGTTGCACACAGTGGACACAGGAACAGCCAGATCTCTGGAGATGGACTTGAGCCCTGAGATTGTCCACGCTTTTCCACTATTGTGGTTCTCAGATCCTCAGACAGTTCTTCACTCTTCTTTCTTTTCTCCATGCTCAGTGTGGTCCACACCACACAAAGGTTGAGTCAACTTTTCTCTATTCTAACCTATATCGCCAGCACCGGTTGACTGCTACAGTGAGTTTCATTACAAAGGAGCATCATGCGTGTGAAATGCAACTATTTCTGATGACTCTGAAAAGGTGTCGATAATTCAGTCAGGTCTGTTTTTGGAGTTCTGTGTGGAATGGATCAGATTTGGCTTTTTTCTCTGCTCTTGTGTTTTTCCAATGCAATCGGAAGAAATAAACATGATGATACCAAACACTTTGTGATTGCAACAGTTTTCTGGGAGAAGGGGTGTGTTAACTTACAGAAATGCAGGGGTGCCAATATTTTTGGCCATGACTATATAGGCAGTGCTGATAAATTCAGCTTTAGCTCATA